GTTCAGTTTTATCTGAATTTTAATTAAATCTAATGAAATAGGATTATATGGATATATACTTTTGGAATGTTACCTGAATATTTTAAAAGCGTTGACTTAAGCCGTTTATTCAATGCTGATTATGGTACCTGGTAACGAAGACCTTCGACCGTTAGTAAGACCTTTCCATCTCGGTTTTACATCTAGGTTTCCTAACCAAGCAGTAAGAAACAATGCGGTGATGAATTATGGGCCTAGAATCAAAAACTTTCAGCGAAATATGTTTTTAGATAGGTGGTGAAAGTGGCACCAAACGCAGCAGGTGATGAAAACTTTATTGCCAACGCGTTTTGCTACATGCATCATAGCATTGTAAGGGCTGGGCACAAATGGCTGCTTGAAAACACTGATACCCAACAAGTGAACATTATTATTGTTTCCTGATTGAAACATAGGTAACAAACAAAGCGACTGCTGACTAGCACCAAAATGTTAACTAGGAAACGCAATGTTCACACAAGTTCACATTGGATCTTTGTTCCTATGTTGACCCAATTTTGCGTGTCAAATTAGTGATTGTTCCCCAGCTTTGACTAATAATCAAGGAAGATGTATATTCTTGTATTTCATTGCCAGTATGTTTAAGGACTTCTTTATTAGCAGATCTACTTTTAAATTGTCTTTGTCTATGAGAGGCACTAATTTGACTGAACGAGTACCCTAGGGTGATCATATGCTGGGCGACACCCGAATTGTCCGCTTATCCAAGGCTTACCGCAGAAACGTGTTCTTTGATCCGCATTGGTCTTTCCAGTGTACAATTTATCGCAGTCTGTGCACAACGCTTAATGCTTCTTTTAGGTTTGTAGGTATATACTTCTTGAATCAAATATTTTGCATTCTTTTGCCAGTCTTGTAGACTCCAAAGCAGCTATGTGTGCCCAACCCTAATGATGCTAGTTTATGTAACGAAGTGCGTTGGAAATATATGTTTATTGCGAAGCTCATACATTTTTGACGTATGAATGCTGGATTAATTTTTTCCCGAACACGGTTACAGGTGTAGCCGCAA